GGAAGGAAGGAAGGAAGGAAGGAAGGAAGGAAGGAAGGAAGGAAGGAAGGAGAAACAAACTTTCAAGGTGAACTTCATGGCATATTTCTCAAGTAATCTTTTAAAATGCTGGTTTAATTGTGGTGGTGGAAATTTTGAATTCTGTTCTGATTGAATTTTTTTTACTGGGGCAGTTTTGCTAAATATTTTTAATACATAATATTTTGTCAAATTTATCAATTTATGTTTCAGTTCGGAAACTATTTTTTTCTTTAGAAAATATTCATAGCTATATTTGTTCAGTGGAAAATTGGTGCTGAACAGTGTGTGTGTGTGTGAGTGCAAGAGAGAGATGGTGGATTGGCCTATGTGCACCAAGATAATGTATATTGAACTTAAATAATTGAGAAATAATACAAACCATTGTTTTCTAGGGACCAGTTATTCTCCACAAGAGAACTCTCATAACCACAGTGCTCTTCATAGCTCAAATTCACATTCTTCTAATCCTAGCAATAATCCAAGCAAAACATCTGATGCAGTAAGTACCAATATTGAATTTGCCCAGCCTAGTTTGTTTTATTATATTTTTGCATGTAATTTGCTTCCCTTTTCAAGAAATCAGATTGAAATTCTGGATAATTACAGTTAATAGAAAGCAAGCAAACAAAACTGTACATACTATGTTCCAGGGAACTTCTGTTCTAGAAAAGTTCAGTATTTCGGTCCAAAACACATTATACAAAGTTTTAAAATGGCAGATTGGATAGCATTGTATCTGTACTAGTTTAATTCTCTGAAGTGAACCTGAATTCTCCTTTTACTATTTGAAAGCTATTTAGTTATGTTGTTCTCTAGTTTCTAAGTGTATTTATTTATTTATCCAATTTATATGGCTGCCCATCTCAACAAGTTAAAGTAAAATAAAACAATTATAAACATTACAATAGTTAAAATACACAGAGGCCAAGCAACATCAACCCACATCACTAGCATAAACAAGAGCTCCTACACAGCCTTGGGGCACAGACCTGGGCACAGAACCAGGTCTCCAGGACCTTACGAATGGTCGGCAGGGTCAGGGCCACCCTGGTTTCCAGAAGTAGGATGTTCCACAAACTGGGTGCTACAGCAAAAAAGGCAATTCTAGGTCCTGCTAACTGACATTCTTTGGACAATAGGACCTGAAGCATGTCCATCCTGCCTGACCAAATCGGGCGGGTAGAAATAACTGGGGAGAGATGGTCCCTCAAGTAACCCAGTCCCAAGCCATGAAGGCTTTAAAGATGACAACCAGCACCTTGAATTGCACCTGGAAGCACACTGGCAACCAATGCAGCTCATGGAGTAGTGATGTTACATGTGCCAAATAATTGGCGCCATTTACTACCTGTGCTGCTGTATTCTGCAGTAGTTGAAGCTTCTGAATGCTCTTCAAGGGCAGCCACACGTAGAGCGCATTGCAGTAATCCAGACAAAAAAGGTTGTGAGGGCATGGGCACAGCTGGCACACACTCCAAAGGTGTACAAAGGCCCTCTTAGGCATAGCTGCCACCTGCTGTTCGAAGAGGAGCTGTGAGTCCAGGAGGACCCCCAGATAATGCACCGGGTCTGTCTGAGGCAGTGGCGCACCATCCAAGACCAACAGTGGAAGGTTCCCAGCACCAGAAGGTCCAAACATCCAAAGTCTTGCTTGGGTTGAGCTGAAGCCTATTAAAGTTATAGTATAAAATGCTTTGTGCTTTACTGATTTTTTTCTGAAAGGAATATTTTCAGTGAAACAGGTGTTAATGTTTAAAACTGAGAAGATGCCGTTTCTGTAATCCATCAGATTGATTGCAATTTTTTTTTTTTTAAGTCTTATGATTCTGCAGATGACTGGTCTGAGCACATTAGTTCTTCTGGCAAAAAATATTACTATAACTGCCGAACAGAAGTTTCACAGTGGGAAAAACCAAAAGAATGGCTTGAAAGGTAAATAATTAATATAGATGTAAATTGTAGAATAGTGAACTTACCATGATGCTTAATTTTAATTAATTTATTTTTACACCAGGGAGCAGAGACAAAAAGAAGCAAGCAAAATGTCTGTCAACAGTTTTCCAAAAGATAGAGATTACAGAAGAGAGGTGATGCAAGCGACTGCTGCTAGTGGGTTTGCTAGTGGAAGTATGTTTATTTTAATACAACAATATTCCTATGCATGTTCATTTTGAAAAGTTTTTTCTTCAGTTGACCACATCTTATAAATATGTCAAGCTTTAATTTGTGTCTCTTTTTTCTCCCTTAACATTTGGTTATCTAATATGGGCACTGAAACAGTTTCGGTGATTAATCTGATAACTATACATTGTACATCAACTGAAGAATATAAAGCTTTTTCCCCCTTTCATTTGTACTATTATGCTATGATAATAGTGACAGATACATTCAGTTCCAATACAAATTATATAGATTTTTAAAAGTCAAAATATTGCATTTCAAGTTCTCAGAAATATTCATAGATATGCAGTCGTGCTGAAACATTCAAACTTCTTTAGTTGTTGATAATAGGGATGATGCAAAAGTTCATCTTGGTTTAAGCATTGCAGTGTTTAAGTACTTTTTTAAAAAACAGTATTGTAGTTGTACACTAATATCTGTTGGTTCTGGAATAGGAAAAAAATTAGTAAATGCAGTATGTTAACTAGAGCTCTAACTTGGTATTTTCTGTTTCTCATTTCAACATTGTGAATGATAAACAAAGTGGAAGAGAAGCATTCCAGTGATGCCGCTAATATGCTCCCACAGAATATTTTGTCTCAGACAAGCAGACATAATGACAGAGACTACAGACTGCCAAGAACAGAGACTCACAGTAGCTCTACCCCAGTACAACATCCCATCAAAACAGTGGTTCACCCTTCTACTACTCCAAGTTCTGTTCCTCCTAGTCCATTTTCTCTACAGTCAGATCATCAGCCAAAGAAATCATTTGATGCAAATGGGGCATCTTCCTTATCAAAATTGCCCACGCCCACTGCTTCCATCCCTTCACAAAAAACAGAGAGAAAAAGTTTATCAGGTGTGTATTAACCTTTTTATTTTGTGTTGAGTATGGGGAGTGGAATATGTATCTTAAAATAATAGTCTGCTGTGTCAAGAAACCTGAAGTTTTCTGTTAACTACAGACTCTGGTTCTGTGTGTCTGTTCTAGTTCAAAGTGTAGTAGTAAAGCTCATATGCCGTACTGTTGAATTCATTAAGTTCTAGGAGTTTCAATGTAGAGGTGTTTTGTATGAGCAAAAGACTTCTGCGCGTTCCTCATTTCCCCAGTCTGCTCATGTGTTATCATATGATGTTTCAAGGATGTCTTCGTTTTCAAGACACATCTTTAAGTATATGGAGTTTTGTGGAAGGGTGGTTAAGAAAAATCAGATGAGTGGAGTCTCTGTCCCTGGATAATGAAATTTTGAGTTTGCTATTATGAATTTTATTTGCTTCACTGATTTACTGGCCAAGCCATTACAGTTTTACAGTTACTAAAATAATGAAATAAGTTTAGGCTGGTAGTGCACATATTTCAGTTCCTAAATTTTGTCCCCTTTTCATTCTCCGTGATGTCAACATTTCTGGAAACTGTAACTCCAGTTTTGTACTATAAACTTGTGGAAAAGTGCAATAGCTCAGTAATAGAGTATATTCTTTGCATACAGAAAGTTCCTGATTCTTTTCCTACCATCTTTAGATCCATAATTGAAACCTTGAGTTGATACTGCAAGTTGGGGAGGACAGTCCAGAGCTAAATAGACTTAATAGTCTGACTTTGTGTAAGACAATTCCTATCTCCAAAGCAAAATCTTTTGCTTCTGCTTTATGTGTCATATATTCATAATTGAGAAATTGGTCTCATATTATCTTTGTTCTATTTTGAAAACTTGTTTTTAAATATGTTAGATGATTCTAGTAAACAGTAGTTGTTCTATGTCTTGACATTTGTAAATGTGTTGAATTTTCAGCCATTTCTAATAATGATATTTTTACGTTATGTAAACTGCAGCTTGTTTTCCAATAGAGAACATAGGAGAACAAGTAGTTCAGATTTACTGGCTCTTGAATATACCAAGATATGAAGCCATTTTTAATTATTGGCTTCATATCCTGCCTTGTTCAGAAGCCATTAATCTTTTCTGTTTGTAGCAGGAAACTAGTTAACTGATGCCTTCATTGCTAAATGAGTAGCTCCCGTGTAATGGAAATGAGGTGGCTAAATGCAGAGGGACAAAGTTTGTTCATATGTCAGGTGTTTGTCTATGCTTTTCTGTAATTAATTTATAATATAAGTATTTTGTAGTTAAAGATGTGTACCAGTCAGCTACTTACTGATCACTATTATTCTTTGAAGCCCAGCATGTCCTTCAAATACTTGGTATACCCATATATAAGGCATGCTGTGTTAACACCATCAATTTATACAGGTAGTCCTCGACTTACAACCACAATTGGGATTGTCTGTTGCTAAACGATGTGGTTGTTAGCGACAGCAGTTCTAGTAGTCCCAGTTGTGGTTGTTCGGTGAGGACCTCACGCTTCCCCTGCCCTGCCACACTTGACTTCAACTCCCCCAACCCGCCTATCTCCCCTCCATCTCTGTCCTTTTGGCTGCCCTGCGCTCTGCTGCCTACATCTGCCGCCCCCTGCTGCTTGCAGCAGACCTTTGCCATCATCTTCCTCCTGCTGCTGGCCCTGGATCTAGGCACTAGGCAAGAGTACAGCTGTGGGATGCATGCAGGGAGCACGGCAGGGGAGCAGAGCCTTTTCTGGTGAGGCAGGAGAGCCTGTGGTGGCTCCCCAGGCAAAGGTGGAGGCTGTGTAGGAGGCTCTCTTTGGTATCGTGGCAGAACTGGAGGAAGTGGAGGGATGCGGGCTTCCTGGAGGTGCAGCATGCACTTTGTAGCTCATGTTGGAAACGCTTCTGGAAAACCAGCCAGCGGGCTTTAGTGAGGGGTAGAGGCAATCCCAGGGCTGGCAGAGCCTACCTGTAGGCCCTCTGCTCACTCTTGGCCCAACTTTCTTCCTGCAAAGCCTCATGAAGGGCCAGCAGCTTCCAGTGCGCTGAAGCCTGCAGACCAGTTCTCCAGGGGTGCTTCTGGAATGTGCTCTGCAGCTTTGGAAGACCTCAGGAACTTTACAAAGCATTGCAAGAATGGGGTGTGCTATTTGGAGAATGGCAGGCACGCCATTCTCACAATGCTTTGGAAGACTTCAGATGCTTTCTGAAGCATCGCAAGAACGGGGCATACTATTTGGAGAATGGCAGGTGCACCCTTCTTACAATGGTTTGGAAGACCTCAGAAGCTTTCCAAAGGCTTTCTGAAGCATGAGAACAGGGTGCGTGATTTGGAAAATGGTGCAAGCAGTCTCAGGGAGAAGGCCTGGCATGGTCAGTAGCTGCCTTGCATAAGGCAGGCCAGGTGCGCCTTGTCAGCAATGGGAGGAAGATGGTGAAGATCAGCTGGGTATGGCAGGTTGACTGGAGCTTTGTGCAGTGGTGCTGGCTGTGCTGGGACTGAAATAGAGGCTGGCTGAGACTGCTGAAGGCCCTGAGCCTCTAATTCGGCCCCAGTGCTGCCACTGCTGCCGATGAATGCAGCTGTGCAGGGTGGCCAAAAGGACAGAGATGTGAGGGAGATAGGTGGACTGGGGGAGTTGAAACACCCCTATGGCCGTGAGTGTGGGCAGGCTGCCAGTCACCTGAATTTTGATCATGTTACTATGGGGATGCTGCAACAGCCATAACTTCAAGGACCGGTTGTAAGTCACTTTTTTCAGCATTGTCATAACTCTGAACGGTCACTGAACAAATGGTCATAAGTTAAGGACTGCCTGTAATGGTATCTTTTTCAAATTCTTAACCAATGGAGCCAGTGATAGAGACAAAATATGGAAGATCTAGAATAGTGTGTATAGCATTCTGGACCCAAATCAAAAGACAGAGTGAGTTCTTGAGTAATCTGGCCAACAGTAATCCAAGTGTGACACAAATAGGATATGAACCAAGGGCATGGCCTTCTCAGTTGTGAGAAACCAATGGAATCTGCAAACATTACTGAATGGAAATAGCAGATTTTAACAATTTTTAATGAAAGGTTTTAAAGGCAGTTTCACTGTTTTAATCTCCTAGGTTCCTGATAACTGGGGAGACCTGTAGCTGGCAGCCTTGAACTCAGTGTGAGAAACAGGAAAAGAAGGGATGATCAGGGTAGAACACAATAATATCTGCTTTATCCATAATCAATTTAAGACAGTGGAAGCACATCTAATCTGAAATTCTGCCTAGGCAGTTAGAGATGCCCCACATCATGTCAAACAGAATACGGACAGATGAATAAATCTGAAAGTTGTCAGCATATGCATGGTAGTTGAATTTACAATACAAAATCAGCATAGAGAAAAAGTACATAAAGAAAATAATAAGGACCCAACACTGAGTCTGGAGGAACTCTTATTGACAGCGGGAAAGCTGTAGAAACGAAACTCTTCTACAAAACAGAATGTCCTATAAAACAGGTTAGTTTGAAACCGTTGAAATGTACCTATAGGGCCAAAGGAACTCAGCTGTAATATGTAGTAAAATTTGGTGGCAGCTCTGATAGCACTGACACCAATGATAGATTTTGCCTTGGCCATTAACAAGCTAGTGTAGACTCGGTAGAGTATCATGCATGAAAGTATGATTGAAGTGAGTCCATAAGATTATGGTAGAAAGTGAAGCAAGAACTGAGAGCAAACTATTCTTTTCATGAACCTTAGATAAAAAGCAAAGACACTGGGCAGAAGTTAGAACAAACATAAGGATTAGGTGAAGGCAATTTTTAATCAAGGGTGTAGATATACTGTAAATATGTTTCCAAGACTTAGGAAAAAGACCAGTGAGCATTGCCTGCTTTAGTAAATTAAAGTACACAGAGAAGGCATGTTGAAAGGATTCCTGCTTCTTATTGGGAGCTTCCTATAATCTCTGAATTTGAGTATGATTACATAACTGGAGTTCACGAAGAGTAGAACCTTATCTGCTATTGGAGCTAGCTGATCTAGTTCTATATGAGTAGCTGAGTTATAAAGTATTGTCAACACTTCAAGTGATTCTGGTATAGTTATATTAGAATTTTTACAGAGAAGGTTCGATAATTGCAAATGATGTAAATGATGATGATGTCAATATCTTACAAACTGGCCTGAGAAGTCATGGGAGAACTTTTGAGAAGTCATGGGTGTATCTTGAAGAGTAAATTTGACACTCTAGAGGTCAGATTCCGTATAAATTTAAATAATAAATATTTGGGATTTGCAATTTCCTAAAAGCACCAGTGGAACATCAAGGTCTGCATGATGACAATCAAGAGGTAAATTCTCAGCAGATTGATCATTAGTATCAGGTGGCAGTAAGTAACTCAGTTAAGCAACTTAAGGACATTTCAGTTCTGTAATCAGAAATTCAAATGAATTAATAGCCTCTACTAGAGGGGTAGCTACAGAGGATGAACATTTGCAGACTTGGTTTAAAGTCAGAGTCAGACCTCTGCTCCTACCCATTGATATGTAATAGTTTATGATTGGTATTTTCTCTTTCTCATTTCAACAGAATAAAAAATATTAGCAAATGTTTTTATACTCGCAATATCATCTGGACTTAATCAGGTTTCTCTAATGGCAACAAACAAAACAATTAGCTCAGTTAAGAAACTGAGCCTTTCTAACAATGGAATGAATATTCCGTGATACACATTTTAATTAACTTTGTCAGTTACATCATTACAAGTAGGGATTGTTATTAAAGGTTCTCTTGGAATATAAGATGAAAATCCAGAATGATTTCTCTTCTGAAACTGTAATTTTTACTTTTTGGCCTAACCCAGAAGTGATGACCTAACTGAACAGGCATATGTGAATAGACTGGCTCTGTTGGTGTCCCAACTGCAGGAAGCATAGCCATTAATGCAGGTGACATAAAAACTAAGGTTAACAGTAATTACACATTAATGCTAACACCCGAAGTCTATTGAAAGAACAATATCAAGGTGGTAGGTACTAATTACATTTAGAAGTTATATAGTTTACAAGCATACTTTGAATCAAGCTTACTACTTATGTACAATAAATACAATAAGGTAGAAGTAATATTAAAGTTTCAAACTCTATATCACACTGTAATTAACAGGCAATACCCAATTAAGAGGCATGAACATTTCTTTAAATTTATATTAAATCAGTAATGCAGTGTAAACAATTCATAGTATCAGTCATTTAGAAACATGGTTCAAGGATGAGCATAATAAGGACTCTTCTCTGTAAATACTAGTTTACTTCTTATGCAAAATTTAGGAATGCCAATTGTTCAAGGACCTAAAAGCTACTGGTAAGATTAAGGTAAATTGTTGCTTCAGGTTACTGGTCTCCTCTGCTGTTTCTACTTGTGAAAAGTTACATTCAGTTTCCTTCCAAATACCGAATGTTTTCCTACAGAGAAACCTGCAAGCTTTCAATCTATACCACTCTATACTGGAAACCTTTGTCTGTTTTGAGCTTTAGAGTGTTTATTGTCTTTAGCAATTTATTTTCCCAGTGTTTAGTATCTTTAGCAATTTTCATTCCCCAGAGGAGTAATTTTATGCTGTGACTATGAGGCAGAAGTGGACCTTTAAAAAGGTTTTGCCCTTTTTAGTTCTGAGGAACAATTTGGCAGCTTGTTGAGTAGAGGACATAGGGACAGACCTAAGTGAGCTTCAGGAAAAAAAAGGGGGGGGGGATTGGAGTATTGGAAAGAAGAAAAGGGGGTAGGTTAGAAAGAAAGGGAATGATAACATCTGCTTTGTGTTCTAGTCCTGCCTACCACTTTATTCAGCCCCATCTATCATTGGTACTCTGCCAGTGTATTTCCCCCAGTAAGGTTCTTGACAGCAAAATGATATGCCTTGCCCTGATTGGCTAGAGTTCCAGGATAAAGTTGCTATTTCTGTGAATTACCTATATTTATTAACAGGTTATTGGACATTGCTATTAAGTAATTTGATTTTGCAATAAGCTCAGGCACCAACCTGGCATCTTTTTATTTTGATAAAATTTGTTACAGGCATTTTTTCCTGCCTATATTTTTGGAGCCTCAGCAGTTCATTACTTTTGTCTTAATGTTTAACTTCCCTCTTCTGATACCTGAGCCTGAATATTGAATTTTTAAAAAAATTATTAAAGATTTTAACAGTAGTAAAAGATAATACAGTATAAGAGAAGAAAGAAAAAAATAGAAAGTGCATAAAATAGAAAAAGAAAAAAAGAAAAAAGAAATTTAAGAAAGTGACTTCCAATGTTGTTTACAGCAGTTACAAACAGATTTAATATTACTCCTCCCCCTTTGAAATTATATTACGTAGATCACTTCTTCCCATATCCAATCCTTTTTAATTGGTAAATCCAAAAATCATTAACTCAGTTCTATCCATTTTCAGCAAAAATTCCATAAAAGGTTTCCAGTATTTTGTAAAAGTACTTACTGTCTTATCCCTGATCAAACAAGACAATTTTGTATTCCTTTTTCTTACGTAGTATTCTGGCATTATTAATCCTTAACTTGACATTCAGATGTTGTCATAGAACCTGATCATCATCCATATCTTCTTCCTCCCATCCTAATTTTTTTAAGGCTTCAACGATCCTCTCCTTGCTACTTTCACCAAGTTCTATAAGTACTCTTGGTCTCAAACAAGATTCTTTCTCTTATAAATCCAGTAGTAATCTGCATAATTTTTCATCTTTTAATATTTGTATTTCCTCTCTGTTTATTATTTCTATTTTATTTTCCAAAATTTCCAACTTGACTTTAATTTGTTTCACTTTTCCACTCAGTTGTCCTGCAGATTCTTCAAAATTATTTTTCATCTCTTCTTTTATCTCTTTTAAATGATGCATTCACATAGGCAGTATTGATACTGTTATTGTAGCTATAACGTTATTTCCAAATCCCTCAAAGATCCTTTGGAATGCCTCAATTGTAATAACCTTTTCTATCATTTCTGTAAGTTTCGCTACTTTTCTAATAGCCTTTTCAATTTAGAAAGGGCAAATAAAAGTAAAAGAGGTACGTTCTCCCCCCATCTCTTAATTCATTAAGTCTTTAATCCCATTCAGCTCACCCTAGTTCTGTAGTCAGATGGTCTTTAGCAACTATCCCTTATTTTTTGTTTTGCAAAGCTGTCAATCGTCCCCAGTTAGTCCAAATAAAATACTTTCCCATGGAGATGTATATTAACTGTTTACTTGTTTTAAAAATACTGTACTTTAAAATCGGTAAATCTAAATTCAACTGCCTCCTGTTTTAAACTTTCTTATTTTAAACTCTTGGCAGGCTTTTTGCTTTTAATTAGTTTTTAGTCCTTTAAATTGTTCCTTTGCTCTTATCTTTAACCTGGGATGAAGGATCACTCACCAGGTGGCTTGATCGCTCTGCTTCATTGAAGAACTCTCTTTAAGTTTGAAATAATTGTCTTCCAAATGTGTTTAAGAAAGTGGGGGCTTTTGCAAACCCAATGTAATTTTGCAGGCTCCGCTGCTGTGAGCTTGCTGTCTCTCCCATGGCCCCTGGCGCTCAGACTCAGGAGAAGCTCACAGAACCTATTCAGCTCTTGCAGGTCTCCTCACGAGGAGCAGCCTTGTGGAGCACAAGTGGGCAATCTCTTCACCTTTCCTTATCCAGAGAGATGCCATTGACCCAGGCTTAACGTCTGGCAGCTGGTCTTTGCTGCAGCAGTGTCTCCACTGTTCATGGAGGCACATCAGTCTGCCATTTCCCCCCCACCTGGCCTGAATATTGAAATCTAAGTGGCATAGAACTTTTGAGGCCAGATAGTTAATCCAGGAGTGCTCTTCTAGCCTTAGAGTAGGGGATATTGGTTATGTCCTGTGAATTAGAACATTAGAAATTCCTGGGACCATAGGATTGCAATCTTTTTTCTTTTCTTTTTGCCAGATAGTGCCCCTAGCTTAATTTGTGATTTATATAGGCCTCATTCAATCAGTGTCCATTTTCAGGCAAATATATGTTTGGACTAGAAATACTTTCATAACTAACTTGAAATAAAACATAAAAGCTGACTAATATTTGTACCAAATTGATTTTTGGAGATTACATTTAAGTATCAGAACTGCTCAATCACTGTATAGGATATTTTAAAACTTTCAGCATTGTGACAACAATAATACTGAAGAATTAAATTTATTTATTATTGGTTTTTAAATGATCCTTTGTAACTGTTTAATCTAGTGCCATTTTTATTTTATACAACACAAAGACACGATATGCATTGGATGTTTACTTCCTTTAAGCATGTTTTTAAAATAAGTTTGTCTCCTGTATCATTTTTGTATGATTAATGTTTTCTGTATTTACTCACTATTGTAGAGTCATGTTTATGGATTTTTTAAAAGAAAAACTTTTAATGTAAGCAGATATTCTAAATTATAATGAATATTACATTTCAGTGAAACCAAGAAGTTTGTTTTCAAAACAGGCAAAAGAGCAAAACATTATCCCAATAAAATAAAGATTTGTTCCTGTTTTTATGTATTCTGAACGCTTTGATACTATCTGATCAAACAAGCTTTTGTCCTGAATCAGTCGATGATTTTGTGTATGGATGTTGCTGTTCCTTGAGGCTATCGTTCAAATTACATTGTTGCTTTCTGCTTGTATATTTCACTGTCATCCAATGGGTGTTGTATGTTGAATTTTACTCTATAGCGTTATTCTTTTAGGTCAGCTACTTTGGGAAATTAAAGTTCAGTTTCATAATAATTTTAGAATAGGTAGAAAGAAAACTGATAATCTGTCAAAATACATTTATACACATCCTCCCCCCAGAGCATTATTTCCTTTTACAGTGTTCAAATGAGATCTTAGCTCAGGAGGGAGCAGAAGACACACAATTGGTGACAGGAGGTAATATTTCAGGGAAGCAACTTTATTTTCTTAAAGCCTATCTCCTGATGATATCTTATGAAGGGGTGAGCATTCAATTTCCCATAACTGATGTATGGTATGAGACAGCAATGTCTTAGGAAATAGCAACTTTTTTTTTTTTTCATTTTCAGAATCTTTGTCTATGGACAAGTCTCTATCCCACTCATGTACAACTCCTTCTACATCATCTGCTTCTGGATTAAATCTACCTTCTGCACCAGCTTCATCTGCTTCTACTGTCCCTGTTTCACCTGTTTCACAATCACCAATTCCTCCATTACTTCAGGACCCTAATCTCCTTCGACACTTACTACCTGCTCTTCAGTCCACCTTGCAGCTTAATAATTCTAGCGTAGATATATCCAAAATAAATGAAGGTAGGTCGTTTTTTTAAGTAATTATCCAAATGTATTTGATCAGGAAATTCCACTTTTATAAGAAGATAACAATATTAAAAATGGAATAAGATTAGTATATTGTAAGAAATTTGTAGAAGACAGTTTTTGGTTAATTCTGTATTTATTTCTTAGGACAGAATTCTATAATGTCTGGAAACAGGTGCTGAACCAGTATTTCCAAAGGAATTGTGGGAAAGGGAGAAGAAACTTAAAGTTGAATCCTACTCTTGAATCTCTTACAGAAAACACCTCTTCCTGTTCTTTCCCTGTTAAAAACTTAATGTCCATCTTAGAACATAAGAATAGCCAAGGGTCTATGTATAGCCACTATTTTGTTTCTCACATTTGCTAGCCAGATCCTTCCAAATGAAGCTGTACTGCTCTCCTCCTTTTGTTCCCCTGTAACTGGTATTTGGAGGCATGGTGCTGCTAACCTAGATATAACATTGAGTCCTTAAGACTAGTAGCGTCTTGATAGGCCTCTCCTCCACTAACCTGTCTAATATCTTTTTAAAGCCATCCAAGCTTGTAGCCCTCACCACATATTTTAATGAATTCAGTAGATTAATTAATACATGGTGTGCTTAATTAATGTATTGCACATTATTTTGCCTATTTTGCATATCCTTCTGATCAATGTCATTGAATGAACTGTCCTAGTTTTTTTATGAGAAAAAAAAATTCCTGTTCATTTTATGCATGCATGATTTTATACACCTTGATCATGTTCTCTTTAGTCACCTTTTTTCCAAGCTAAAAGATCCCCAAATGTTTTTTTTTCTCATAGGGAAGGTGTTGGGATCGTTTTGTTAACTGACTTTTACACTCAGAGAATGACTGAGAGTATATGACTTTAAAATAGTCCAGAGAAAAGCATTTGTAACTGAGACTCAGGAAGTGTGGAAATACTACCCATATACTATTTTCTCTCTTTACAAACACTCTATTCCTTCACTGATGTTACAAGGCAAATATAGGGATAGGAACCTCATGTCTCTGATTTGTGGATCTGCCGTCTTTCCTAAAACCAGATCTAGTTTTTTTAACTCTGAGTTATAGAGTGCTCTGTACATTTTGTGTATACAGTGGGTTGTTTGAAATCAGTTTAACAGAAAGCTTGGTCATGAAATAGAATTTTAAATAATGAAAATTTGATGCCAATATTTTCATTTCATAAATTAAGAGATTGCAATTATACTTATTTACCTGGGAGTAAACTCCATTGAATTTGAGTACATATACAGGTAGTCCTCAGTAAACAACCGTAATTGGAACTGGAAACTCTGTTGCTAAGCAACATGGTCATAAAGCAAAAAAACACGTGACTTCACCGACTTTTGACAGAAGTTCTGGTTGCGATCGTTTAAGTGAATTGTGCTGTTGTTAAGCGTGACATCATGTGACCACAACTTGCAGCTTCCTGCCGGCTTCCCCATTGATTTTACTTGTTGGAAGCCGGCAGTGAAGGTCGCAAGTGGTATTCACATGACCACGGGACACTGCAACTGTCGTAATTGCACGCCAGTTGCCACGCACCCAGTCGCGATCACATGACCATGGGGGTGCTGCAGTGGCCACAACTTTGAGGACCAGTTGTAAGTACCACTTGTTCAGTGCTGTTGCAATTTTGAACAGTTGTTGAATGAGTGGTTATTAACCAAGGGCTACCTGTATTTGCATCCTTCTGGAAACTATAATGAATCCTAGTAATAATTGTAATGATATTGCTCTTTTAGGAGCCTAGTTTTTGGGAATAACAGAGTATTGGGGTAGGTGATACCATGCTACTATGAAGATAACAGGAGGAAGAAGCAGAGCAAGTTCTCTCTTACTGGCTTGAGAGACCAATCTGACATTTTCAAGAAGAAACTACTAGTGGGCATGCATACTGAAGCTGTCAGAAGGAGAGGGAAAACCATTAAGTGTCTATATTTTGAATTGCTAATTTTTTCATAAATGTATAAAGCACTAACTTGCTTCAGTATCATGCTCTGATAATCTTTATTTGTATATTAGTTCTTACAGCTGCTGTGACACAAGCTTCTTTGCAGTCTATCCTTCATAAAATTCTCACTGCCGGACCATCTTTTAATATAAGTTCCCTGATTACTCAAGCAACACAGCTTTCCACACAAGGTAATTTGGAAATTTTTTGTTGACTTTTTGTGAAGTTGCCTTATATTCATGAGAGTTTGACTAATGAATTATAACTACCAAAATAATGAAAAGTTACTTTCCAGAGAAACCCTGCTTGCATCTATGTATGTTTATCTGAGGCAAGTTGTGGGAGGTGATAAATCTAAATGCTTTTATACCATCCAGCATAAATACATTCATGGAAATGATGAAATTGTAAAATTTTGTGAGATGATTTTATCCAGTGATTGTCCTGTAATTATCTACTGACAACTACATTACCATTTGCCAAATTGTTTGGTTTGATTTGCATTTGTGATTATATTATTTATTACCTTTTAACATGTTTTATTTGTTTCACATAGTATTTTGACAGGAAACATTTATAATAAAACTAGTAAGAAGTAGAGAGTCAGTTTGGTGTAAAGGCCCAGGCTAGAAACCAGGAGATTGTGAATTCTAATCCTGCCTTAGGCACAAAGCAAGCTGGGCTAGTGCTATGTTCTCAGCCCTAGGAAGAAGGTAGTGGCAAACCACTTCCAAAAATGTTGCCCATAAAACTTCATGGACTTGTCCAGGCAATTGCCAGGAATCAAAACTGACTCAAAGGCATGCAGCATTGTTTATTTGGTTTTTTTTTTAAACCCAAGATCAGTAGTTCTGCTTTGTGCTAAAGTACTTTGAGTTTCCTATAGCTTCCCATTAGTCTTGTTGAATGTTTGACAATTAGGGGTAAAATAAATGCAATGAACTGAGCAGGCCACAAGATGGCTCTGGTTTGCTACAAATGCATCATTCTTTATCTCCAAATTACCTTTAAAGAGAGTTGCTAGGTTTTTCAAATTAATATTATCAAGAACAAGACAATTTATAGAGAAGACCATGTCCTCATACACTTTATTCATGAATAAAAGAAACTTTAATAATGTTAGATAGGAATAGAAATAAGAATACTAGACTTTAAAGCTTGACTTAGCACCATTTGGAAAACAAATTAATCGTCATGAAATTTCCTGGTTATTTGTTATACCTAGTTCTATTAGAAATAGAATATTCTGGAAACAGATGTTTCCTTTGCTTCAGTTACCTGGACTATTCCAACTTCTTGGAAATTTCCAAATGTTAATTGGAGGCTGTGGAATACTGGCCCCCTGCTTTTCTCAGCCTCAGTTCACAGCTTCTGAAAAGTTCTGCCTCTAGTTTTAAAAGGACTAGACTTTTTCTAACAGAGAGGGGTTGGATAATTTCTGTGTGTCCAACAGCCATACCTACTTGTAAGAATGTGTATCGCCTGTCTTGGGTCTGAATAATGGGTATATTCTTGGCTATCATTAGAAATCTACATAACCTTCAAATTGAGGCTTGCTCTGTATGTGTAATGGGATGTGTGAGTAACCTTGAGAGACAGGAGGAAGAGCTGCAGCCTAGACAGCGGTCTGATAAACAAATTCTGAGTCCAAAGAAGGAATCTAATTTGAGTAAGCATCTCAGAGTTAACCCTCCCTAGTTTTCTGGAATGTAAAAGGGAAAGGCACATTTAGACTTGCAAGATTCTGTTATTGTAACCTTATAATAAAAATAGTACTAGTAATCATAATTTTGGTGTCTTGGTCTGGGCTATCTCAAAGGGCTGACAGTATGTGAAGAGCATATCTGTTCAGTGGTATATGCAACCTGGTGATTGCAATTTAAAGTAAAGTTAACTGTTTATGCACTACAGAAAATACATATATATTTTCAGATGCTTCTAGTACCTTGGATTGGGTAGCTTTATTATATTAATCTAATTAATAGAAAACAACATACAGGTAGTTCTCGCTCAATGCTGGTAATTGGGGCCGGAATTTCCATTGCTAAGCCATGTGGTTGTAAAATGTTATGTGGCAGTAATAGGTTCAACCATGTGAATTAATGTTTCCACTTCTAAGTAGCCTGTCCATCTTTTAGGCAATTACACCAGCATATATGAAACATTGTATCTGATTTATGTTAAGTAATTTTCTTTATATTAATCTCATTTTAAGATAATAGAAAACTAATTATTATTTAAAGTGATTCTCCACAGGTTTGCCAGGAGATTCAAGTTCCAGAGATCACATAATTATTATCGGTTTCATCAATTTCCTTAAAAAGACTTAACTTTAGAAGTCACAGTTAATTTCTCCAAAATGACAAACTAATGTGAAGCTGAAGCAATAATAACATCTGCACCAACTAGACCAAATAACAAATACTTCAGTTCAATAAAATGGCAAGAAGCACTCTGAGGGGTAAATCAGATTTGTTCTTCAGTTTGACAAGAGTGCTAAAATAGCTTCCACAGGGTTGAGTTGAAGCATAGTAATAATAATATAAGAGGTCCATCTTAATCCCCCATCAAAAAAAATCCACTATAGTTAAACTGGGATTATCCAGTAGTGTAAGATTTTCATAAATAAATGGATCAGTATTTTCCATATATATCTTGTAGCATTAAGTACAGGAATCCCAATACTTTCTAGGATTTCAGTGGGCCAAATAATAACTCTGAAGTCAAGCCCAAAGAGCTGAATTTTGAAATTCCTTGTTCCAACCAGTGATCAAAGACAAAATGCCCAATGATAAGCCTGAAAATGTGGAAGTTAAATCTTCCCAACAGATAATTGTAATTTACACAACAAAAATCTGACAGAAAACTTGCCAAATAAATTTATTCTGTTTCCTGTAAGTGTTTATAATAATGTGACAGAATAAATACAGGAAGACTTCTCAAAATGTAAATCAACCTTGGAATTAAATACATCTTAATCATGTTTATCTCACCCCAAATACTCAACTGTAATGTTTGGTTTGCATCAGAATTAGAGATAAATTCAAATTTACCAGTTGAGAAAGGTTCCTGAAAATTCTTAAATCAAGAGGAGGCAGAATGCAACCTGAAGCCCCCATTTTAACACCTCCTCTTAGCCCCATGCAGAGCTGACCAGGGCCTTGCCTTTTTTCCATTCCCCTCTCCAGTACTTCCGCCTAGAACATACATATTTCAGGTTTGTGCCCAGATTTAACATATTCTTCGGTCTTGGCACAGACTGACTACGGCTCACTGTTTTGGGCACAGAATGTTTTGTGAATCTGTACTGTCTAGATATGTTAGTTAATTTATGTATGAAAGAAGAAGTTTGATATTTATATATTGTGTGCAGTCTTTAGTTTTTTAGGTTAAAGCTATGGAATTGGCTCTCATAGAAAGCTAACCATAGATCAGAGCATACATTCGTTTGCTTATTTATTTATTTTGCTGCAATTTATGTGCTTCTCAGTTCCAAAAAGGCTGTTGCAAACAAGTTATACTTCCTAGATATTACTTAATGTTGCTGCACAAATAGCTGTTGTGTGCCTTGTTAATGTAAGATTTTTATTCTTTAATGCAGTAATTACCTGCTTGGACCTAATTCATTTTAGTGACAGTAGCAACTTTATAAGCTTGCTAGACTTAGCTGTCAGAAAAATACTGTTCCTTTAAAAATACTCAGTCAGTAGGCTTTTATAATGCTGACATTATTTTATTCATAGCTCAACCATCTAATCAGTCCCCAATGTCTTTAACATCGGATGCTTCATCACCAAGATCATATGTATCTCCAAGAATAAGCACGCCTCAGACTAACACAGTTCCTTTGAAACCTTTGATTAGTACACCTCCTGTATCATCACAGCCAAAGGTAAGTTTTTAATGAGTTGTAAGCTATATGTTGAAACTATATGTTTATTGCTTAGTCTCCATTATTTTCATAGAATTATAGAACTGGAAGATCACTGCGGGATCCACTGGAACATCTCAGAGGTGATCATCCAGCCTTTCTTGTAAAAACTTCCATTAAAGGAGAAGCCACCATTTCATGTTGCATCTTTACTATTGGCTAACAGTTTGTACATTCAGGAAATTCCTCCTGATATCTACTCTAAACCTTGTAATTTTAACCCATTGGTTCTGGTCCTACCCTCTGATGGAAATAGGGAAGTCTATGTGACAGCCTTTCATATATTTGGAGATTGCTATCGTATCTCCTCTCAGAATTCTCTTTTCTAATCTAAACATACCAGATCCTTTAACTGTGCCTCAGAGTAGCTCTCCTCCAAATGTGTTCCAGTTTGTAACTCTTCTTTTTGAACTATGGTTCCCAGAATTGGACACAGGTGTCTGACCAGAGTAGAGTAGAATGGAATAATTACTTCCCATGATCTGAACTCTGCTCTTTTTAATGAACTTTAAGATAGCATTTCTCTTTTTCCAGCTGTATCAGATGCTGGCTCATCCTTATATTGTGGTTGACAAGGACACCCAGAACCCTATCATATGTACCACTGCCAAGCTAGGTCTTCCACATTATGTACTTGTGCCTTTAATTTTTCCTACCCCAATGCAGGACTTTACACTTCTCTCTCATTAAATTCCATCCTATTCATTTCAGCCCATTTTCTCCAGATTTTTGAAATCTCTCCCTTCCCAATAAGTCTCACCATTGTGTCATCTGCAAATTTTAAGCATTCTCTTAACATTAAATTGATAACCATTTTTAGTGCTTTCAATATTGTAATGTTTCTTGTATCAAATAAAAGACTGAAATGTTTTAAGAGATTTTTTCCCAGTTAATCTTAAATGTGTGAATTGGTTTCTGAAGGAAGAAAAAACTAGCTTTATTAATTCTTGTGTGTGTTCCTATGTATGTGTTATTAGTTTGATTTTTAACATCAGAAACAAAAGATGCAGTCCTGTGTCTGGCATTTGAATAGCTGACCTGTTGGCAAGGTTGTTATATACACTCCTGCTGGCTGCTTTTTGTGTTCATTGAGGCTCTCTAGTTGGGATTCACTCACCAATGATTCAGGCCAAACAGAAGGTTTTAATTAGTGATTGAATATTCACAAGATCCTAAGGCCCTTGCATTTGCAGTATACCCCAAAAGGGACCTAAATATATGCCTTGTCATAGCAAATCAAGAGGTCATAGTGATAAAAATTCAGCTTAGAATCTTGCTGTATTTCTTAGGATTGCTTTATAAGAATGTGAGGTAGAACATCTCAATATAAGTTTTGTGTTTATTATTAATTTAGCTGACAGTCTCAGTATCATATAACAGTAGGGTTTATTTTATTCTGGCATAAGTACTGATGAGGGACAATCTGTTGGTTATAGCTGTTTGAGCAAATGTGGATATCTAATCAAGTTTTGAACTTCAGGTTACTACTTCAGGTATTAAGCAAGGACCAGTTTTACAGTCAGCATCTCAGCAGCCTGTGATTGCTGACAAACCACAAGGTCATGAACCTGCTTCTCCTCGAAGTCTTCAGCGTTCAAGGTAAATTTAAATTAGTTGAGTATTGATTTCATCATGCATTGTTCTAGAAATGTTATATTCATCAATATAAATCATATATAAAATGGTATATATGAGTTATACTCATTTTGAATGGCATGCATTCTCATCTACACTTATTGTATCCAGGATTTTTAAATTAAATTTTGGATTATGCATCGCAAAGTTCATAATTGTGGATCTCATATTTCCTTATTTTAACTAGGTCACTCTGCTTATTAGAAGAAATACCTCTTCTGCAAACTATTAATTATATTGCTAAGTTTGCAATTTAGCCACCAGTATCTCTTAATGTTTTTCTTATGTAGTGCAAGTTGGCTGGAAGAACACAAGAGGTCCAGTAAGCTGGGCCTGAACTAATGCCTTTGCCAAAGTGCTGTCCACAGTTGCACATTAAACATTTGGATTTTCTTGAAAGAGAAACATTTTCAGCTTTGAGCACAAATATTGCTAATTGTAAAATACAGATTGAAAGCACACAGAATTTGAGTTACCAAATTTATAAGAACAGTTATAAGAACCATTTCAGTTGTTTCCAAGGGATAGAATAAATTAAATATTCAGACTCCACTTTTATTTGAACAGCTGCATAGTTGGAGATATCAGAGAGCTGTGTAAGACTTGAAACATGGTAGAGGAAGGGTCCCCCCCCCATTCCCTTGAATTTTACGAAAATAATTCCCATCACCTTCATTATATAGGAAACTGGGTCTAAAGTAACTCATGAACACAAACTTTGTTGTACAACCTAGGAGACAATTTGACTTAAATACATTTCAGAGAAGCTGAACATCTCTTACTAAGCCACATGTTTTACCTTCTCCCATCTCTTTCTCAGAGGGAAAAGCTGAATGCTGGAGTTAACAATGGTAAATCCTTTTCTCTAGCTTTCCAGATGTATAATTCAAAACTGCTTGTGCTTATAAACCAAGATATGACATTAAACTGAACAATCCCAGTCAAATATATGGAAGCCACTCTCCATACATCATTTAAATTTTTTTTAACATTATGGTTAGTAGTCAGATATTCCCTAGCCCAAGGTGAACAACCTTTTTGTGGCTGAGATACAATGCTTAATGATTTGGGGGGACCAAGCGATATAATAAACAGGGCAGTGATACAAATGGTGGGCCATGTTATGCATGAAGATTACACTGGGCATTAGGGGGCCATCTTTTCTCTACAGTACATATTATGCCTGTTTTAAATACTCTTCAGACTTTTGTTTACTCCTAAACAGAAACAATTCAATTCAGTCAGAATTGGTTTGAAAGAAAGAAAAGACATCTAATCTCTTGTATGCCTTATGATTTTTAAAACTTTTTAATAATCACTGTTTTTTATAGGTTTATTGTTTATATCCTTGTTATACGCTGCCCAGAGTCACTTTTTGTGAAATGGGCAGCCATATAAATTTTTATTTATTTATCAATCAGTCAATCAATCAGTCATATTTATATAGCTGCCCATCTCACACAAGGTGACCCTGGGTGACGTACAACAATTAAAAAATAAATACATAAAAACAATTACACATAAAAAACTAAAAACACACGAAACAGAAAGGGATAAAATTAATAAGGGAGCCATCGTAAAATCTCTGTGGTTCCCTGGGAGTCCAAGGCCTGATCACATAACCAGATCTTGAGGGAATTACGGAATATTAAGAGGGATGGAGCTAATCTCTCTTCCAGGGGGAGGAGATTCCACAAGGCGGGCACTTTTATTGATAAATAAATAAATTAGTTATATCTAAAGGTTGTCTACAGTGCGTATATTCTTCAGTTGTAGCACTATTTTATCTGCAGCTGTTTTAATGTTAATTGCAGTTTACTGGCATTTTATAATATTTTAAATGGATGACTATTGTGTGATCTAGCTTGCAGGAATATGTACCCTTAATTTGAAAGAAACAGCACTTTGATAGATGGTAGTATTGTCTTTTCCTTACATGTAAATGTAAGCCCAGATACTTTTTTAAAACTCTTTTCTTAGCTTCTGTTTCTGTTTATTATATTATCAACATATCTATGCCACTTCACTTCAAAAAGCTCTGAATGGAGTACAGCAAAAAACTGTTTTTCAACTATGCAAACTAAAGATTTGTGGAAAACAGTGAATAAAATATACATGTGGTCTAATAACTCATTGGTTCTTTACATGATTCGCTAAGAACAACTAATGTTTAAAATCAGCATCTTATTACTAAAATTGTGTCAATGATTATTGAAATAATTCTGTATTATCTGCGTAAATCTAAGTAAATACATTTATGTAATGTATATATTTCACATTTTCAATATAAATGCATATTTCATTAATGACTGGCAAAGTAGCAGGAAGCAAGAGAAGTATATTACAGATAGAAGATTTGAAAATTGTATGAGTTAATATGACAGTGACACAGTTCATTCTTTTTCTTATAGTAGTCCATCTCCTGGTCCAAATCATACCTCTAATACAAGTGCTTCAAATACAACAGCACCACAGAATGCATCTGGACGGCCTACATGTTCATTAACTCCTACACTAGCAGGCCATTTCAATGAGAATCTTATAAAACATGTCCAAGGATGGCCTGCAGATCATGCAGAAAAGCAGGTGACTGTACATTCAGTGTTTTCTTGTGTGTTGTAGATCAGGTCTATTAGAGCTTTTGTGTATCTGATAACATTTAGTAAGTATTCTTTGCTAATGTTTTTCATAACTTTCCACTCTCCATTTTGGAGATGGGGAGAGATTAGAATCATTCCTTTGGGTGGGAAGAAACAGGCTGTAGAACCATCAGAGATAGTTTTCTTAATATTATGTAACTTAAGAGTTGTTAACTGTTAATTGTTTTCCATCCTAACTCTGTTCACATAGGCAGTTATTAAATTAGATACATAATTTGCAGTTACCTGATATATCAGCAATAGTTGTGTGACCTGAAAATTCAGTGAGCTTTCTCTGTAGCTTGAAAAATTCTAGGTCTTTAAAACAGAAATAGTGGTAAAAGAGTGCTATGCATACAATCCAGATAACACCATGCTGCATTTCCAAGTCTTCTGTCCATGGATCTTTGCTTCCACATTGTGAGGCTATGGGACAGTTTGATCTTGATAACAAATCTGTAATTTCATGTGGACCTAATGCTAAGCAGTCCATGTATGGTTTGGGGAATGTTTTTCACTGGCAGGAGAAACCAAGCAGGACTGAACAAGCAGTATGTGTCAGTACAGTAGCTCAATTGGAGTAATCCAGATATAAAATAAAAGATGATTAGGTCCATACTGGGCCACTGATATAAGATCATATAATAGCTGGGCTCATTTGTAATGCTAAACCATAATTTGCTTAATTTTGATTGATTAAATAATAATTGGCCGAACTTCCATAAGCCAGAAGCAAACAAATCACATTTTGACTTGGTATAATATATGAACCCAGTCAGTATATTTCGTGGCTTAATCTGTTGTAAGTCTATTATGCAGCTGAATCTAACCATTTATTTTTAGTATTTCTCAAACTCTGAACAGGAACATATGTACCAGCATTTTTACCACAGGTCCCACTTGGAAATACTTGCCCTCTCTCTAACAGGTTAGAGAAGTAGACTGAAAATAACAATAAAATTTAACAGAGATAGATGCACTTGAGAAATAAAAGTCAGATGCCTAGTAATGTGATCGTGGCGATCTGGCTTGATAATGGTATTTGTGAAAAAAGAACTTCACTTGTTGTTGGCAAACTGAACATAAATCAATGTGATATGGCTCCCCAAAAAGCAAATGTAGTTTTAGAAATATAGTTTCCAAACCATGGTAGGTAGTAGTTCCACTCTATTCTGCAAATCAGGTCCCACTTCAAGTACTTTCCCAGTTTTAGTAATCACATATTAAGATTCAAGCAATTGGACATGATTCAGAGAAGAACAATGTAAGTGATCAGGAGACAGGAACCTAAATCTTACAAGGGATATCCAGGGCATGTGGGGGGGAGGGGACTTGGTATGTGATGACTTGAATAGTTCTGCCTTCTCTTTCTTATCTCTCTGTGTTTTGTCATTGCCTTTGAGCAGTTGCTATACTAATTATGTTTATTTCAAATATACCTGAGGAAGCCTTTAATGTTGTTGTTAGCAACTTTAGCCAAGTTCTCTTTCATTTTAAGCTTTAGCCAGACACCATCTTTACAGTTCTGGGCTATCTGCACGTACTCTTCCTTGCTGACCTGGTTAAACTCTCTTTTTCCTTCTTATATGAGTCTTAATTTTAGATTTTCAGTATGCTTTCAGATTTTTCAGACCATGGTCTTTTTCTGCTGTCTTTTTCTTTTTTCTCAGCTAGAATGGTATACAATTGTGCTATTTATTTAGATGTGTATAAACCTGTGTGAACTCTTCCCAGAATATTTCAGGAAACACTGATTTGGAAGTTCTGAGGTTGATTTGCTGTATCATGGGACCAGACCATGTCTGGATCATAGCAAATTATTTACTGTCCTGAAAGTTTTACTTTTGGAAATGCATGAACCACATCTCAAATGCCCAAATTGCTATCTTCTGGGGAAAAATAGATTCTGAGGATAGATCGTGTAATTTTACATATCCCAACTTTTAGCTTCTCATTTCTTAGGAACTCCTTCCTATCTAAACTTCTTCTTCTTTAAGAGTATTTTAACAGTAGATTCAGTTACTCAGGAAGGTGGTAAGCTGCCCTTCATTGAATATATTCAAGCAGAGGATAGACAGTTATCTGTCAGTGATTCTTTAATTTGGATTTATGCACTGAGCAAGGGATTGGACTGAATGGTGTAAATTCTCTGGGATAATCCCAAATTACAAAGAATTGAAAGAATTGTGTCGTGAGAGGCCTTTCCCCCTTGCTAGAATTCAGAGGGGATGGGAGGAGAGATTTTACTCTCTTCTGGCAGTAGGACTTGGCAATTATGGAGGAGGTTGGCTTGGGAAAAGGTAAATTAGGTTATAGGGTTTAAGCCTGTCTTAGTAATATGTAGTTGTCCTATCATTAATCCTAGGGATTTGTGGAATAGAATTGTGACATTTGTTAGGTTTCTGTTTATATTCTATTTCCAACTATAAATACCATATATTTGACCTTTGTGTATATTTTTATTTTAATCCTTCCTTTATTTTGTACAATTGAAGCTCTTTCCTCTTGTTTTCCCCACAGCAACCACCCAGTGAACTGGGCTGGGCTGTGATAGAATGCCTGGCCCAAAGTCACCCAGCTGGCTTCATTTCAATTATATTATGCTATTTTAGTAGCGTCTGTCTTTGTAATCTTCCCCATAGTGCCTTACCTTGACTCTGCCTGTTGCATTCAGAGTTTCAAAAGTTAAGATTACATCATGTCAGCCAAGTAAATGTAATAAAACAGACAGTGCTTGCAGCAGTCTTACATTTTATCTATTCCTTAATACTGAAGAACCTCTTGAGTTATAGGAAATTTATTAGATATTGCTTTCTGCCAGTAAGTTAATCAAGTTTTTTAATAGTCCCAGAGCCTACCCCAGTTGGCAGAGTCAGAATTATATCACAATACAGTAGAATAACTGTCCTTAACCTGACATTTTATAGCTTCATATGTTCTTGTCCATTTTTAGGATTTTAGTTCTTTTTCAGCTTTGCAAATGTAATTGGTACAGAAAGAGAGTTTTACGTACTCAGACTTAAAGGGAAGGACATTTATTTTAGTAAATGAAAACTTGTAATCGTTAGAGTTATCAGATTTTCACCTTTTTCTTATGAGAGATTCAGAATGTGAAAGATTTTGAAATAATAGTTTTCATTATTAGTCTCTGAGAATTGCTTGTAGGTATAATCACCAATAGCAAATCAAAATATTGAAAGTTTTCTATTGTTACAACTAGTGATATCCCACTTTAGTTTTGTTATGGTTGAAAGTTAAATGTTTTGGCTGGAGAAAAGCCAAACTTTTTCAGTGGCATGTAAAACTTAGTGAAAAAGTAAGCTGAAGACCAGGTTGCTATCATATAGTAAAACTGATAATTGTTATCATTTTATGGATGACAGGAAACAGTGCTTTTTATTTTCCCACACTACAGTTCATGTTGTTAAACATATAGACATCTTTTCACTAATACTATATACTTTTATAGGTATTTGTTTACATCTAGTAAATTGTCTAATAAATGGAATACATTTTTGAATAGTTGCTTTTAATTCTTTAGGCATCAAGATTGCGTGAAGAAGCTCATAATACAGGAAGTGTCCATATGTCTGAAATTTGTACTGAATTAAAAAACTTAAGATCTTTAGTTCGAGTATGTGAAATTCAAGCAACTTTGCGTGAGCAAAGGTAATTATTTTGGGTGTATTTTCCTAATTTGGTACATTTTTGGTTATGTTTGCTTTTACAACTTTTATATAAATTGAAGAGCTATTGAGCTGCATTCCCTAGTACACAGTCAAGGGCTGGGAACTGTTAGAATTTAACACCAGGATGATGCTGACTGAAACAGGCATAATACCTCCCTCCACAGCCATTGAACTACTGAAGGTACCCTTGTGTGCTCCGGATCTTGAACAATAATTTAGTCCATTATGTGTACCATTAAGGTAGGTCAACAATTTCCAGGCCCAAGAAATTTATCCTTTTTTTAAAAAGTTAAACAAGCATATAAACTAGTTGTGTTTATCACAGTATAACTGCTTACTGAAGAATCAATTTGGTATCTCAGGTGCTAATTGTATTATTTTCTTTTATAGGATACTCTTTTTGAGACAACAAATTAAAGAACTTGAAAAACTAAAGAATCAGAATTCCTTCATGGTGTGAAACATTGTGAATAATTGCACATGGGTTTTGAGTACAAGACTGTAAAACTGGTTGCCCAGTCTTAACTTTTTTGAGCTGCATTTGAGTAGACTTTGGACCGTTGAGTTGGGCAATACAAAATAACATGGGAAAGGGGAAAGGAGGGAAGTCATTCAGGGGGAAAGATACAAGGATGATTTGTAAAACCCTTGAAATGTAGATTTCTTGTAGATGTATTCTTCACGTTGTAAATATGTTTTGTAGAGTGAAGCCATGGGAAGCCATGTGTATCAGAGCTTAGACATCCAAAACTAATCAATGCTGAGATGGCTAAATACCTAGCCTTTTACATGTAAACCTGTCTGCAAAATTAGCTCTCTTTTTTAGTTAATTTATCGTTCAGAAATCTTGCATTTCCTGAAATTCAATGCAAGCGCCAGGTGAACTGTGTCTCAAAGCTGCAACAGTTTGAAACAGTTAGGGTAATGTACAAAATATCATGAAACAACTGTTTCCACACTTGCACCTAATCAAGAGCAGTGCTTTTCCATTTCTGTTTTACAGAGCAGTGTTTTTCATTTTCTGTGTTCATTTTCCTTTTGAATTCCTAGATCTGATTTTATCAGTTTTTTAATTCTTCTAATTTCTTCCTTTCATAAGGCACTGTTGCTATGGCACTTTTCTATAATCTTTTCATTCCTGTGTACAGTAGCTTAAAATTGCAGTGATTGAGCATAACCCACTTGTTTGTATAAATTATTGAAATGTATTTCCATTTGCACCCTGAAAGAATGGACTGAAAGTACTGCTGGGCACATGTGTTTGAAAGTACATCCCTTTCTCAGACTCTAAGGAAATAGCCCAATGAACATGTCAACATGGTTGTGGGAGGGAAAGAAGGAAAAAGCTAGTCAGATGTGAATTGTATCTGTTGTAATAAACATGTTTAAAACAAACAAACAAACAAAAACCACTGGTTTTCTTTTCCTTTGGTCGATAACATATTACAGTTTGGACTGTTTGGGGATTCTTCATCAAAGCTATTCTTGTTGAATACTTTTGTACTTAATTAAAGATAAGTCCTCAAGGGAGGTTTTGTTTAAAAAAATTGTAATTGTGTATAAAATATTTAATGACATTCAACAAGGATCAGTGACACCTCCCAACAGTTGTCATATGTTAACTCCTGGTTTTTACCTGTCTTGCTATTATGACATTTCATTTCAAAGGATGTTTGTGTTGTAGCTAACTGTTCAAGTCTGGTGCTGACTGCTGTTCTTAGCCATCACAAAACGCTGACTTTGTGTAATTGGAGTGTCTCACTGTTTGAAAATGGTGGGAAAGCTCAGCTTTGTATATTGTTTCCTAAAGTATATTAAAAAATAAAAAAGAAACTATTGCTACTACAAAATAAATTTGTTTTTTTTTCCAAAAAAACTGTCAGTAATAACTGTTGTTTAAGTCTTCATACGTTCCTAAAATCTGTTTGTTTAGAAATTGAGGTCATGCTGAAAAATGGCCAACTTGCAAACCAGCTGTGCCACTGTTGATGTGTAAACTTAAATTCATTCAAAGATGCAACTGTCTCAGAAAAACAGAATCCTGCTTATTTATGTATGCCTCCTAATTTGCCTGTAAATCTGTTGTCTTACCTTTTTGTTTTCTTGATAACACGCTATAAAATAACAACTCTCTATAAAATGACTTCTCTTGATACAGAGACCTCAAAAAAGATGTAATATTTCCAAAAGTTTTAAAGCCAGAAAAGAAAAAAAGTTATTTTTGTAAAAAAAAAAAAAAAAAAAAACCAAATATCTTTTTTTAGCATTGTTTACTAATCTACGATCACTTTCTTACTTTACGAGCATAAAATGTATTATGTATAACCTGGTCTGCTCATGAAATCATGTTTGCTTTATGAAAATTGAAAGTGGTTGATTTATACAATTAAAAGTGTGACTAGGTGGGTAATAATGCAACAATATACCAGATTACTAAGAAATAATTTATATAAGTTATGGAAATATATTAATGTAGTTAAAATAGAGTTTAATACACTGAATTCTGGTGTTTCAATAAAGAAGTGTACAGTGTTTATGGGTCAGCTTCTTTGTGCTGTTCTGTTCTTCGTGGATCTCAAGGGTAGATTCACGGGGCAAAGAGGAGTTTTCCCATTCTAAAATGGTTAGACTTGTTCTATTCTCCTGAACGAGAAGGGCAATCAAAATTTCATGTAATTGATATTAACTAGGAAAACACTTAACTAGTTTTTCATTCTGAAAAAGGCAGTCCACCCAGAGGCAGGAATACATCATGTACCGGAAAAACTACTCTATTTCATAATCTTAAAAATGTTATTCTTTAAAAACATTTTTAAGGGGAAAAACCGGTAGAAAAAAAGTTGCATTTTTTCCACCCCTTTAGATCTCTACTGACCACAACTTGGGAACTTCCTGTCCCTGTTTGTCAAGGCAGCAGTCCTTATTTCCTTAAAGTTTACTGCTGTATTCTGATCGTGGGTTTGGTCAGTGATGTACCAAACAAAGCCAAGTGTAGCTCTCAAGCTGATGGAAGTTGGATGTCCTTGCTCTGTCTGGTAGTATGGGCACCCTTTTTTAATACTTAACAATGCTCAAAATCTCAGGCCGCCACTAAATTTCACTAATTTGTGTTCCTGTCCAAAATCTCATAATTTCAGGGACAAAATTTCATGAGACTTGGCAATCTTCTCAGTTTACAACTATTGTTTTTTATTTAATGTTGTCATATAGCTGCCATCTTAGGAGAGAAAATGTAATAGTTGTTGTATGTGCCATGATGTCAACCCCTGGTTTCTCTTGACATTTTGAAAATTTTTTGATAATGACAATTGACATAATGGTTGGTTATACTTCAGTAGGCACTGGAGGAGAATGTTTGTACTATTCACCACCAACTTCATTTAAAAATCATTCCTTTCTAGAAATGTCAGTTTAAACAAGGTCAGGCTATTGAATGTTTTTCTTGTTGGCCACCAGAACTAGGTTCATAATAGACCAGAGGAATTTTGGCACTAATAATATTCTTGCACTGAGAAATATAGTTTATAAGCCCTTCAATATTTATTTTAAATATTTTATCCCACTTTTTTTCCCACTTAAAAAGCACCACCTGTCTAATGTACTGAATTGCTTCTTCGGGTCAGTTTTTGCAAATTTGTAGTTTAAGATGTTTTAATGTGGCTTTAACCTGGTTTTAAGGGGTTTATTTTTTTTTATTGGCACCTGTATTTGTATTTTGTTTGTTTGTTTTTTGCTTGGTTGTTTAATTACATGAGCTGCCGAGAGTCAAAAATGTGAGATGGGGAGCTATACAAATCAAATAAGTAAGGTCTGGATAATCTGGTTTTTCTGGAAAAAGCAAACATAACTTTGCATAGAAAACTTGAAATATCTTCGTGTCTTTATGAAAGCTGCCTTGAGCTGTTGCAAGAAAGGTAGGATTGACATCTAACAAAAAACTTCTATCAAATTCTTGGACTTGGGCTGAGAACAGAGTAATGCTTGAAAATCGGTTTGCTGTCTAATAAGATGCTCTAGTGGGAAAAGGCTATTTTGATGAGAAAAAGGGGGAGGTCCCCTTTGTTCAACTAAACAGAACTAAGGTGTGTAAAAAATAAATACTTTTTTAAAAGAGGTCAGTGCTCTTCTTAGGTATATATTAAATATTGTATTACATGAGCATCTTTCACAACTTATTCCTCCCTGAGCAAATTAATTGTTCTTTGAAATAAACTCAAGTTGGATCTGTTCAAAGTGAGCCAAATTTGCTTCAGTGACTTCAAGCAGTTTGAATGTTTTGTACATTTCTTTCTCAATCATTTTGCAGTGTTGCATAACACCCCTTTATGTCTTTGCTAGATGAGTATTTTTCAATCTTAGAAACTTTATGATGTATAGACTTCAACTCCCAGAATTCCCCAGCCAGCATGCTGGCTGGGGAATTCTAGGAGTTAAAGTCCACAGATCTTAAAGTTGCCAAGGTTGAGAAACAGTCTGCTAGATGAAGATATTTTATTTTTCTATTTTTTGTTTTAATGTTCATTTTACTTGGATTATTGCACTGGTATCAATTTTCATCCTTTTCATTAATAAACCCTAATTATTTCCAGCAGTGTTGCCAGGCTTGCATTGTTTCTGGTAAAGACTAATGTGCTCTGGTATGGTAACAACTTGCATATTTATCATTTTAAAGATAAACCTTGGGTACTGGTTATGGAAGTCCTTGAGTGTTTTTGTAAGCACCTTTATGACTGCTGTTCTTTATGAGTGTAAAAAATATTTTATGTCCATTGATTTCAATGTGAAATCCAGCATGTCTATAATTTCAAGATTTCCAATTCAGCCTAATGTTTCCAGGCCCCTCAATTGCCCTTAAGACATCAAACCTGCCCAATCAAAGGAAACCCCTCCACCATCTTATATTATTATAAGTATACATTATATGAACACATAGCTCCCTGGGGAAGGCTTTAATGCTGGGAAAGGTGGAAGGAAAGAAGTGGACAACCAGCAGCAAGGTGGATGGACTCCATTACAGTGGTTATGAGGGCACCGTTGGAAGACCTGAAGAACCATGATAGGGACAGATTGTCATAGGGAAAATCTATGTGGTTGCTAAGAGTCGCCAACACCTTGATAGCACATAATCTTATAAACAGTAAAGTCACATGCTTTAAGCATTGATTTTGAAGACAAGGTTCAGTTTTGTCTCAAGTTCTGAGTCCTCTGCACAGGCTTATTCAACATACAAGAATTGTCAAGTTTCAGATAGCTTTTAAAAATTATGTAGAATTGAAATTTGGTCCAACTGCTCCATAAGCTAAAAGGAGCTTTCCGACTGCACCAGTTTCTGTGGGATAGCCTTTTGTCCTTCATGATGTAATGAATACTTCGCTTCATTTATTCTTATTTTATCACTTTAATGTCAGCTTTGCAAGGTAGTCCAGACAAGAAGCACACCCAGGAGTATTAGCTCTATTATAAGGTTACATTAACAGAATCTTGCAAGTTTGAAAATACATTTCTCCCCCTTTGCCTTTACAGTCCAAGAAACTAGGGAGGGCCCCTTCTGAGGTGTTTGCCATGCCCTCAATCCTTCTGTGGCTCAGCTGCCTCTTATCTGACCATCGCTTAATCTGCAGCTCTTCCTCCTGTCTCCCAAGGTCATTTCCACATACCATTGTGTTAATTATGGCTAAAATTACCTCCCAGTAATGCACAGTACCAGCTTCCTATCGAAGAAATCATGATCTTCCTTTCTGTACATTAACCTCTTTAAATGTGGTAAATTCCCATAATCCCTGGCTAGCATACCTATACTAGTTGGAGAACTGTAGCCTGATGTTAGGAAGGCTGATACTGTCTGCAAATTCCAGGAGTTGCCAGACTACCCTCAAAAGGTGGAGATTCCGAGGCAATAGTATGGACATTCATAATTCAGGATTGTGGAGAAAAAATAGGAGGAGGAACTATGTGTATCACCTTGAGTTCCTGAATGAAAGATGAGGTGTACATCCAATAATTTAATATGTTTATTTGTCCATTAATGGGCATAAATCAATTCATTAGAAGCATCAGTTAGAAGCACCAGAATTCACATATATCCTATAATTTTATTGATTAGTCAGTTGACCATATCAAGAAACAATGAGCATTGGCTGCGGTAAAATAGAACAAAATAAGGTAAAATGAAATAAGATGAGATAAAATCTTGTAAAATAAAATAGAAAACAGAAGTATAAAATCAGATGAATGCTAAAATACAAAATTCTGTATTTAGATGAAGGCATCACCTTTACATACTTCTCCAATGCGTTCTTTAAAAACGTAATCTCAGTTGAACAGCTCTTGACTATAAGTGTGCCAGTTCTAATGACTACATACTGTATGTGTTTGTGCTCTGAAGGAAATCCTGAGGTCGTAATGTGTAGTTCTGTTGAGTAGTGGCTGCAAAGACTGGGCCCTTGCTGGGGCATATAATTGGCAGTTGAATAAGACATATGCCATGTCTTCTATGTCAGGTGCTCCACATGTACACGTCCTCTCAGGGTATGGCACCTGATGGAATCATCCATATTTAA